AAAATGTCATTTGTTGTTTCTACTATATATATATATATATATATATATATTAAATTATTATTGGATCTCGTTCAATACTTTCAGAATCTTTACTTATTCAAACGATTTTGTTTCTGTATTTTAAAATATATGTTTTTATATTAACATGTTTTAATGACAGTATATTTATTGGGAAAAAAATTATTTTATTTTTCAAAATAAGCAGAAAATAGTACAAACTTTGCAAAAGTGATTGTTTTGAAAAAGTATTAACTTAGACATTATTTAAAAAAACATTATTTAGCTGAAGTATTTGTATCAACACCGTGAGCCTTTTACCCCGTGGGTGGGGTAAAAGACCCCTCTTGCCACCTCATACATTTATAAGATTTTTAAACAAAATAACTTGAATGATTTATTTTCACACAAAATCTGTTGCTCCATTAATGTTCAATACAACATATATATTTTTTCTGCAATTATACATTTTAGGCGCAGTGAATGGCACATTTTTTCTTAAGGTGGGCCTTTAGCCCCGTTGTACCCTATATAATTATTCATATTTATTTTTAAAAATTAATAATAATAATATTGTATTATTATTATTAAATACCAATATTAATAATAATACGTTTTATTTTAAAATGAATTATTTAATTTTTATTTTAAATGTTGTTATTATTATTAGTAGTAGTAGTAGTTTTTTAATAATTACTACTACTAAAATAATAATAATAATAATCGTTTGTTTTTGTTTTTGTTTTTTTACAGTTAATTTATGTTTATTGCCACATCAGCTTCACAGGCTATTTCATGGCAAAGATTATACATTAAAAATATAGTAGAACACAAAATACAAATACAAACATAAATAAATTAATAAGAACAATTATAAAACAAAGTATTACACAGACATTTCTATAAAATATATAATAATAATAAATGTACAATTAAATTTAAAACTTAGTATAATTAGTAATACAAATCATTTCCATTATTATAATATTAACAGTATTCATTATATAATTAATTCATTTTTTAAGGATTAATAATAATAATATTATTATTATTATATGATTATTGCTGGAATTCATCAACAGAGAGGAGAAAAGTTCATTTTTTCTAACTTTTGAAATGCATTGCAGTGGCCAAGGAAACACACACACGTATAGTTGTAGAATTAACTAGTTTCAGCAGGGAGGGAAAGGTGCAGTTAGCCGGACAGCACTCTCTCATTTACACTGGATGAGAGTGCTGTGACATTTACAGCGGCCAATATTGCCTACATCCAATCTGAGATGGAGTAAAGAGCAGGGCATGACTTAGGGCGCCAGGGGCCCCTGGGCTTGAGGTTATGTTTGGGCCCTATTATGGAATAACACAAAATACACAAAAATTAAAGTATGCTTTGAGGTTCATATATAGTACAATTAATATGCAACATGTCTAGCCTAGTCAAAGTTTAGATGTAATATTAAAGAGTCATTATAATACAATAAACAGGATGTTCTCTCAGTTGAGAGATCAAAACCCTGAAATAGCACTGAGCAAAAAAGCGAGAGATATATTAGTATTATAAAAAGTTATTGTCATATCTGTGTCCTCTTATGTCAGATTCTTAAATTTAATCAATAAATTCAATCCGAATAAAAAGACATGTTGGCTATCAACAATCAAATGAAATCAATATCAACAAAATCCATAGGTGGATTTTGCATAAATTATGTTAAGTTTAAATATAACATTTAATTGTAGAAATATTAAATTGCAAAAATGAAATAAGCCACTTTTTAAAATATGAAACTGTAACCGCCAGTAGGTGGCAGCAAGTGACTGTCTTAATGAGTGAGTTGAATCCTTAAAATTTAATGCATTATAGCTTTTTAAACGAATCGGTTGATTTAAGGCATAAAATCAACCGATTCGTTTAAAAAGCTGTAATACATTGAATAGCAAACGACTGTACTTATAGCCTGACTGAATTTTCTGGTTCGTGTAACGCTGAGGAACAAAACACCGTGTTGCTCGGAGACGCAGCAGTTCTGCTGTTTGTTCTATTTTCTTTTTGACATAGCAAAATGGAATTTTGTGTCTGAAAGTTACTCAGTAACTTGTTGTTTATTGTACATTTGCGATCCTGCAGATATTCAGAAAAACAGGACTCTTGTTTGCGAACTAGGGATGTCAACGATTAATCGATGATCGATTAATTGTCGATAAGAGGTGCAATCGATTAAAGCTATCGATGGTCGATTAAGCCGTTTAATTTTGGGCTGCGTGCGGCTCATGCGCAAAACACACGTGTGAGCGGCTGTGAGTGACGGTGACGGTATATAAATGCATCAAAAAGTAAACACTTTTACGGGTTATACCTTGGGCTACTCCAAAAATTTAGTTTTTTATGTTTCACACACCCCACATATTCTAGCAATTCAAACTTACATCGCAGTCTGTTCATTATCAAAATAAAATACAGTCAGTCAAACATATACAAGGTTACACTGGTCAGTTTAAATAGACATTAGTATACCGGTCCACTCTGCTGTTATGCCAAGGACGTTTTTGCTCATGTGAAGAGGATGATCGCGAACATATGAGAATTTATCATTATCTTTCTGAATGTGCACTCTTTTGGGCTAAAGGCTTAATGGAGCTGTGTAAAGTAGCCATGTGATCAAATTCATCCATGCAGACGAGATTCAATACGTGTGTCCTTCTTCTATGTGAAATAATCATAAATACCAGTTTATGTTGCTTGATTACCCTTACGAAAAAGAAGTTTATTCAAGTGTGCTATTAGTAGGCCTATACTTCTTTTAAACTAAAAATAGGAAAGTATAGCCTACTTTTAGTCTACTTTTTATGTACTTCTCAGAAATGGGCTTTATGTACTTCTCAGAAATATACTTAAAATGACATTTAAGTATACTTGGTACACATCTAATTTCCAAAAAACACAAATGAAGAAGAAACCGAAACAACAGATGCTTCCACATGTATTCCATGTATTCT